TGTTTAAGTTTTGATGATAGGGCATTAAATACAAAGGGAATAAAGAAACAGAGACAATTTAAAGAAAACAAAACTGAAAAGAATTTTAAGAAATTTATTTACTGGATATAACAGGAAGCATGAAGCTGGCAAAAGTCAGGTGTGATTGCTGACAATTTGACATGTATCTATTTCAATTCTGCATTCAATCTGTTTGTTTTTACATGGAGATCATTTTGAAAACTCAAATTTCAGGCAAAAAGGTAGTAGCAAAGGGCAAGACTGCATCAACAGTTTAGGGATGTTACCTACTCTATTTATGCTTAAAACCTGAAATACCTATTGTATCAGAATTTATATTTGTATGTTTATTTCCTATTTCAATAAAGGTCTGTACTATTAAATTTTGCGTTTTCATTTTCATAAGAAAACATCAAAAGTAACTTCATAAATAAGACATTTCCTATTACACTTCTTTGAATCATCCATCTTGAACGGAGAACTTGTTCAAGGTGGGAAAACAACTAACCCAACTCCTTTCTATAATTTTGGCACTAAAATTCAAATTTTATGGCTACAATTTTGTTGAGAGCAGAAACACAGCCTTGCATAGACAGATCACATTTAATAATTTAAATTATTCTGTTCAACACATGTATGTCAAACATGTAAGACTGGAAGGATAGAACTACTAGCATTTGATTTAAACACTAACTCTCAAAAAGAGAAGTTATTTGAACAATGACTGAAAAATGGTTGTGGCACATTGTAAATTTTCTCTATGTTCATACGTTATAGAACAATATACCCCTTTAAGAACCTAGATTTGATATATTTAACTAAATTAATATCAATTGATCAGTAAATTTGCAAACCTTCCTTACCACCAAATGCTGAGATTATCTAGCATCCTTATAATTTTTTTTTTTATTATAAACATTATTTACTACTAATCCAAGTGCCAAAAGAGCAATTTGTTCTTTTGTTTTTTCTTTTGGTAGTCTTTCCCCCAGAAACATTCACGTTATAAAATTATTCAAAATAATTAAAAATTCCTCATAAGTGCCACAGGTAGACAGCAATTTAACACAAGAGTAAATTTCAATCATGAGATTTCAGCTATTTTTAGCGAGTCATACCAAAAGCATTACATTTTTATTGAAAGCAATAGATTCTATATCATTTGCCTTATTAACTACTTACTGCCCTACTGATTTACAACATTCTGATTTTATTTGCAGTACTTTCAATCAGCTCCACATTTACACTATTTATAATTCAAGAACTGACAATATCTTCTAAAATGGTATGATTACATGCCATTGCTATTCTATTGCTAACTTGATAAAAATTCTAAAAACTTATCTAGATAATCAGTCTAATGTAAGGAATTATTTTTGTTATTTCTTCTTACTAGACTCGTTTTTGATAATAGACAAATAATAAGTCTACTGATTATAAGGTTACTTGTTTCCATCACTTCGGTTTACAGGACTAACAATGACAGCACAGACTGGTTAATATTCTGCTTCATCTTCTGTTTCTTATTTAGAGTCAGGGTCTTAAAGTTTTTGCTGTTGTAAATTAAAAAGCAGCAATGATCGTAATTGCTGACAGTGCACCTAAAGATATTATTTTATTTAGCACCAAATGATGGATCTAGTTATTTTAAATTTATATAACAGAAATATGTAATTTAAGTGTATGTACCCAAATTTACAATGTGAAAAAACAAAACACAGCTCAAAAATCTTAAAGTGAGAAAAAAGAGAAAGAAGTATTATTTTATTTTAGAGAGGGGACACGTGCGCGGGGGGGGGCGGGGGGAGGAGAGAGGGACAGAGGGAGAGGAAGAGAGAGAAAAGAGAAAGAGAGAGGAAGAAAATCTCAAGCAGGCTCCATGCTTAGCACAGAGCCCAACCTGTTTTTTCTTTTTAAATTTTTTTTAAAATGTTTATTTATTTTTGAGAGAGAGAGACAGAGCATGAGCAGGGGAGGGGCAGAGAGAGAGGGAGACACAGAATTGGAAGCAGGCCCCAGGCTCTGAGCTGTCAGCACAGAGCCCAACGCAGGGCTCAAACTCACAGGGCTCAAACTCACAGACGGCAAGATCATGACCTGAGCCCAAGTCAGACGCTCAACTGACTGAGCCACCCAGGCGCCCCAGAGCCCAACCCTTTAACCCTGGGAGCATGACCTGAGCTGAAATCAACAGTCAGACAATCAACCGAGCCACCCAGGAACCCTGAAATATGATTATTTCTGAATGTTTTATGTTAAGCAACAACCATTTAAGAGCTTTAAACTGAAAAAAAACCTCGAAAGAGATTTCCTCTCTTTACTCAATTTATAAAAATGAACCCAAAACACTGCCATTATTTAATTCAGACAGCAATGAATATATAAAACATGAACATTCTACAACTTCTAGAATATCCACATCCCACAAGTGGGGAACAGCTTAAAAAAATTCCTTGAAGAATGGCATTAAACGAGCATAAGAGAATGACAAAAGAGGGGATACCCACGCATAATCATATAGAATCACTGACTACTGTCCTGATGTACCTATTTTTCTGGGTACTGACTGGAAACATCACTATCTTAGTAACTAAGATTAAAGAGAACTCCATACTACCTAGAACAGACAACAGAAAGCATTCCAATTATAAAATACAGCAAATGACCTATGTTTAAAAGATGCTGGAAAATATCCAGCTTATTTATTTGCTTAGAAATTTACAAAGGAGATGAAATAAGGTTAAGAATGTGACATTATCTATGCTTTTAAATCTGTTAGAAGTTAAATGATACCTATTTCTTTCTGAAAAGTCAACTACCCTCCAATCTACAGGAGCGCAATACCAATCAAAAAGATTTCTTTTTCTAAGAGTAAGCTGAAGTAAAACTGAGCTGGCTTCCAAGGGACCAATTAAGGAACTTATGCCTGGGCTATATAGGATTCTCTGGGGATTTGCAAATGTTTCCATTCTAGTTTTCCAGAGACAAAAATATAAAAAGGAAAAAAAATTGGAGAAGGAAGTGACCTGTGGTATTTGGCCACTACTCTTCAAACTGGCTCATCAATAAAAGTCTGCAATATTTAATTATTTCCACCCAAAAAACTATTTACTGAGTTCAGTGGCAGATCTTCTATGATAAGGTCACTCCTTGACACATAAACATTATTCACAGAGTCACTAATCCAATGGTATTAGATATGGTAGAGAAGAATCTGCTGCACTAGTTTTCACTAAAACAGGGCCATCCCTCAACACCACAAACAGAAAAAAGGTGCACTTAAGTTTCTTTTATTTAGGGATGAGCTCAAAGAATAGATGGAAATGAATCGTTATGGTAGCTTGACTTTAGAGTCTCAATTATTTTTTTAAAATATTTTTAAAATGTGTTATTTTTTATTTATTAAAAAAAAATTTTTTTTTCAACATTTATTTATTTTTGGGACAGAGAGAGACAGAGCATGAACGGGGGAGGGGCAGAGAGAGAGGGAGACACAGAATTGGAAACAGGCTCCAGGTTCTGAGCCATCAGCCCAGAGCCTGATGCGGGGCTCGAACTCACGGACCGTCAGATCGTGACCTGGCTGAAGCCGGACGCTCAACCGACTGCGCCAGCCAGGCGCCCCTTTTTTTTTTTTTTTAATTTTTTTTTTCA